CAGGGACGGACTCCAGGCCCCAGACCCTTAGGGACCAGGGCAAGTTATAAGCTGGGCTGTCCCAGTCTGGGACAGTTGGGGGCCCAAAGGAGACCTACTTCACTCAGTCCAGACAGACGCTGTTTTCCATGCCCAGCACACTGTGCCCTTCTCTGCCTCTGGTCTGCAGGCCACCCCCAAACATGCCAGCCCCTCTCACTGCTAGTGGAAGCCCCGGGAGTGAATTGGTTGGAGGGTGGGCCAGGGCTGCTACCGAACGTGAGGATGGGAGGCTTGGAGGTGAGCACACGGGCCAGCAGGCCCTTTCGGAGCCACGCCTGGGACTGGGGCAGGAGGGGCGGGGCCGCGAGCCGCCGACCCGCTCCCCACGGGCAAGTCTGCCCTTCTCTGAACCTCAGTTTCCCCACGTGTGAAATGCATCCATCTCCAAAGTGCTTCTCAGGTTCATGGGTGTTTTCTGGTGTGTTTACATGTAAGTGTGTGCACATATTAAACATACTAATGAGTTGAAGAGAAAGAGAGATGCACCTGTGAAGGGTTTTCATGCTGGTTCATGGGAGTTTTGAGGAAAAGGTCTTCGGCCAACCAGACAAGAGGCCTCCCTGGCTTCGGTGTGTGTCCCCACAGAGGTGCAGCGTGGGCTTCCCGGTGTGAATTCTGGGTCATGCTAAGTCTCGACTGGAGACTTCACAGGTTCACTCTCAGGGCCCCGTGTCCTTTGATACCACCCCCTCACTGTAGATGAGCACGCTCAGGCCAAAGCGGGGATGCGGCTCATCCGAGGGACCCGCCTCCAGCCGCCTTTTCAGAGCATAGGCCGCAGCTTCTTCACGGAGGCGGAGTCATTAATTCTCTGTTCAGAAAGCACCCACTGTGTGCCAGGCCCCACGGGGAAGAAGAGGTAAAGACAACATGGTCCCCGACAGGGAGCAGCAGTCCCTCGAGTCTGCCCTCGAGTGCTCATTTCTCCCTTCAGCCAGGTCTCTTCCAAAATGGGTGGGAGAGGAAGGGAGACCTTGCATTTACTGAGAACCAGTGGTGTGCCGGGTACCATCATGTGTGTTTACTTCATTTAATCCTTATAGCGACCCTATAGGCAGCTACAAGTACTATCATTCCCATTATACAGACGGGAAAACTGAGGCCCAGAAGGTTAAAGAAATTGCCCAGGGCCACAGCTAGTCAGCAGCAGAGCATGGACGCTACTGCAGGTGTTCTGCTCCCAGAGCGGCAGGGAAGCCCCGCAGAGCACTGGGCGGCCGGGCGCCCTTGCTGAACTCTCGGTCTGGTCCTCCTCGGGCACTGCATGGTGAGCCTTCCAACCTACCCGCTGGTGCGAGTGGTCTTTGGCCCCATTCCAGCCCCAGCCTCACCTCCAGGTCCAATGTCCTGACCTCATCGGTCTCAGCCCCTGCCCCTCCCTCCCTCCTCTGCTTTCTGCGGAGGCCCCCACTCATCTACCCCAAACCGTGCCACAGAGCCCCTATGATGGAGATCGCCCCTTCTAATTGCAGCCTCGCTCCCAAAGCCACATTCGGTTATCACAGAGGGTGCAGATCTCAGCTCAGCCTCCTTGGTCCCAGGCCCTGCGGGCCAGCTCAGGAACGGAGGGAATTAATTACATTTCTCCCAGCCCCTTCTTTTAAAGTAGGGGAGCGCCAGCAAGTCCCGGGGGAGGGGGCGGTGAGCAGAGGATGTGGAAGGGGGGCTGGCACGGGGCTCCCTCGGCTCCCACCCCCCCAAAACCTGCAAGCCTCTCCCCAGCGGCAGAAGGGGGGGGGTGAGGCCAGCCCCTTATTGATTTAGTCTGGTGGAGGCTGGGACTGATTTAGAGCAGAGAGAAAGGAAGGGGCTGGGGGCGGGCGGGGGCCACGGCCAGTGGGGGGGTAGAGGAAGGGATGGCTGTCACTCAGCCTGACGGACAGCCGGGAGATTTGCCTTCAGATAAAACCTTACAGATGTGGAGGTCGGTATTGATTTTGAGTTAGTAACGGTAACGTACCAAGAAGTAATACATTAGTGAAAGCAAGGTCACCGGGAAAAAAGTAAAACCCACCAGGGAGAGGCCTTAGCATTCTTGAGGAGGGTGGATTACCGCATCAGACCAGGACTTCCTCAAGTTCAAAAGTTTGCAGGCTCCAGACCTCGGCTAGGCCCCTGATGGTGGGCAAACGTTCTCTGCTTCTGAGGGCAAAACGGGACTCCGGGGAGTCCACGGGCCAACTGGAGGCCCGCACCGCTCTGCGCGGTGGGCTCCTGAGCACCCCTCTCTGTTTTCTGCCCATTTTCCCCAGCACTGCTTGTTGTGGGGAAGAACATGGTAGAAGCCAGAGAGACCTGGGTTCATAGCCCAGCCCTGCTGCTCACTGGTTGTGTCCTCTCGGGCACCTTTCACGCCGCCGCCGTGTGCGGAGTGGGGGTGGTAATAGTCTATTTCCTTGAGGAGTCGCTGCTCCTACCTGGCACCTCCCTCCAGCTGAGTCCTGCCCCATTTGCTTGGAAGCCGCCATGCGCGTGGAATGGAAGCCCTTTGATCCACAGGCCTCCAGGGGCCCTGGGACAGAGTAAGCAGATGCCGCCCCCTCCATTCACACCTACCCCAGATGGGGATTTGGTTTGATGTTCCAGGGCAAATCCCACTGAGCCAGTCCCGTTACAGCAAGAGCTCCCTGGGCCTGAGCTGATTCAGAGGAGCCCGGTAATGGCCCAGGGTCCGAGGCCCCCGGAGCCACGGGCACCACGCAAGTCCCTCTGACAAAGGATTCTCCTTGCGGGGTGCATGGCACGGGTGGCCTTCCCAGTATTATCTGCGCCCACCTCAGGGCCTTTGCACTTGCTGCTTCCCCTCCCTGGAAAGCTGTCTGCTTCATCTCCTCACGGCGTGTGCTTTTTGGTACCGATCGCACCTCTTTTGGGGAGGTCTGGACTGATTGGCTCTGGGAAGGTGCCGGGGCAGGTAAAGGACAAAAGAGGGGTGTCCCCAGTGCTGAGGGGAGTGTGTTGAGAGCGTCATGGGAAGAGTCTTAGGGGACAGGACCCCCACCAGTAGCTGCCCAGGAAACAAACTGGCCGGTCCCTGGAGTAAGAACCTCTGAAGGTGTCTCGTGCCTAAGAGTCATCTTTGAGTTAGTCTTGGCGCTCTCCAGGAGAGCCAGTGGGGTCCGGCCAACCGGCCCTACCGTGAGATGGGGAGAAACCCCAGCCCTGCGTGGGCCTCGGGTTTGTCATCTGAGAAATGGGCCTCGCAGCTCCATCCCACGTGTCTCTGTAGGGCTCTGGATTGGGAGAGTCACGTGAGTGTGTGGCTGAGCAAGACGAGGCGGAGGCAGGGAAGCAGAGGACTGGAAGGGCGGGGCTGCTAGTTCCCCGAGCACTTCCTCCTGCCAGGCTGGACACAAAGCCCTTTCGCTGCTGAGCACGTCCCATCCCCTGCCACACTCTGAGTTTAGCCCGTCACCACCTGAGTTAGGGCACACAGCCCCCAGGATGGGGCGGTCACAGAGGGTCAGGGACACCGGGAGGCTGCACAGCTAGGAAGTGGAGGTCCTCCGTGTCTGTCCCTGGCATGAGGTTGTCGATCCCGACCATGCCCTCATGTCTATGGCAGGGGCAAGTCAAGAGGGAGAAGGCAGCTGTTTACGAAGATGTCATCAACCATAAGGTCGTTGCTCGGAAGTCTTTCACCCTCAGTGTCCCGGGAGGTGGGTGGGGAAACCAGGAGTCAGAGAGTATAGTCATGTGCCCAGCACGGATGGCGGCGTGATTCTTTAGCACGGCGTTGGGCAGACTGTCAGCAAGCCTGGCCCCACCGGGCACTGGGGCCTCCCTCCCATAGAGGGCGGTGTTACCAGAAGGTTACCAGGGTCCCGGGCCTGCAGGTTAGATGCACAAAGGTCTGCCCCTCCCTCTGCCCCTCCCCCGCGGACTGACAATGGCACTGTGCTCTCTCACTCTGCAGGGAGTCCTGCTGCCTGCCCCTCTCTCCCCACTGTCTCTTCTAGAGAGCTGGATAGCAGGTGTCACCTCCTCCAGGTGGGCCACCCAGCTGGCTGGGGGCCCTCCTCTGGGCTCGCACTGCCTCTTGAGCTGCCTCTGTGACAGTTCGTCACTCCGTACCTCGACAGTCTGTTGCCATGTGCCCCCCTGCCCCAGACCCAGACACTCCCCAAGCTGAGGGCCGTGACCATGGCTCTCCGTCCTCTGAAGTCCCAGGGCTCTGCCTCAGGTCTGGTGTCCAAGCACCATCCATGTTTGCGTGTTTGCTGAATGAATGCGTGAACACACCAGTGAACCAACACCCGGTTCTTTAAGCGGAGTCTCTGGGGACGAGTCCCACGCCCTCGGTCCGAGTTGCCAGCACTGACGTGGGTTTCTGTTTACTGAACCAGGCCACTCAAGGAGGCGGGGACGGTCACAGACATCTGGGGTCTGTCAGAATCAAAGAAAGGTTCTGGGGAGGCCACTGGACAGACTGGCCATGTGCATGGGTGTTGTACATTCCCAGGAGGGCACCAGGTCTTGGCCAAGGTCAAAAGCATAGCGGGCCTAGCATGGGGTGAGGAGTGAAGCCAACAGACCCAAGTCCTGCTCTAACCTTTGTGCTGGAGTTGGGGTGTCCCGGTCTGATGGGGGAGGCACAGGCCCTGTCCTCGGGAAGCTCCCTGTCTGATGGGAGACAGAAGTAGCCGGTTTGTTCATTCATTCCTTCCTGCACTTGGGCATTCCTTCAGCCAGTCAGGCCTGGGGCTAGAGAGATGAACAGGCCCCGCCTCACCCCAGAGCTCGCAGCGGGGGAAGCCTCCCTGGGTCAGGACCTAACCAGGAGAAACCACTAACTCTCTAACCCGCAAGGGCAAGCAGACAGGTCACCTGAAGATCTCGATGCTGCCGGGACCTCCAGAGACAAACTCCAGCAGCGGCCCGTCTGGGGCCGGCCTGGCGTCATCTCTGCAGTGCTTGCATCTTTGGGGGTCCTTCCAGCGCCCACCCCGGCCACTCAGCCGACACGGATGGTCTCTCCCCACAGGTGATGAGCATTCTGAGCAACCCCAGCGCAGTGCCGCCGCAGCCGCAGGCCGACTTCTCCATCTCCCCGCTGCACGGCGGCCTGGACTCGGCCCCCTCCATCTCGGCCAGCTGCAGCCAGCGGGCGGACTCCATCAAGCCGGGGGACAGCCTGCCCACCTCCCAGTCCTACTGCCCACCCACCTACAGTACCACCGGCTACAGCGTGGACCCCGTGGCTGGCTACCAGTACGGCCAGTACGGCCAGAGTGAGTGCCCCGTGCCCCAGCCTCCCCTTCCCCACCCCGCCCCCTGCTTATTCGTACAGAGCTATAAGGGGTCGTTGGGGTGGGGGGTTCCCATCTCACAGATGAGGACGTGGAGGTCCGTCCAGATGGGAGGAACAGCCGTTCTAAGACGGTACTGAGCCGGAGCCCTGCAGCCGCCGCCGCGGCAGGGGAAAGCTTTCTCGTAGGCGCACAGGGCTGGGCAAACGGGCTTCACAGTGGTTCGCACGGAAAGACACAGGTTACGATTCTCACAATAGCTCGACGAACTCAGAAGAACGCCACTCACAACTATAAACCTACTTTTGCCCACCCTGCATAATATGAGCCGCAAATGGCATTTAAAATTTCCATGGAGCCACATTGTATTTTATTTATTTTATTTTTTTAACCCTCCCCCAAGGATATGTTTATTGATAGAGAGGGAGCGAGAGAGAACCATGGATGTGAGAGAGAAATGTCGATGGATCGCCGTCCTGTATGCATGCGCCCCTACTGGGGATCAAACCCGCAATCTACATATGTGCCCTGTCTGGGAATCGAACCCACAACCTTTTGGTGTATGGCCGACACACTTAACTGACTGAGCCACTCGGCCAGGGCCAAGAAGTTGTTATTTTAAAATGTGAGAAGTAACAGCGAAGTTATTTTTACTAATATATTTTATTTCACGCATTCTATCTAACAGGCGATCATTTTGACATACAGTCCATATAAGATTATCAATGAAACATTTTACATTCTTTTCTTCATTCTGCCTCTTTGAAGTGCATCCCGTTTTTGTTCGGACTCAAAGTGTTCGTTGGAAGTGCTTCGTCTGAGTCAGTGTTTTATACAATTTACTCTGAGGAAATTATGGGTTTGCATACCCAGGTTGTTCCAAAGATACTGAAAAGTTTCCCACCCACTAAATTAAACTGAATTTGAGTTTTTAAATTTAAATTAGGTATGATGGAATCAAAATGTAAAATTTGGCTCCTCGGTCTCACTGGTCACCGGTCAGGTGCTCCAGAGCCACCCATGGCCGGCAGCCGCTGAGTGGGACAGTATGGTGTTAGGGACCCTGCCCCTTTCTGTCCCCTGGCTGTGGGGCACTGCTGTATTGGGGGCTCTGTCCTCTACCCCTGTCCTCAGCCTTGGTTTCCCAAAATTTTTAGCGTGTCTCACGCGCCCAGCCCAGTCGCCATCCCCTTGGCGTTCTGCCCAGAGGCCGGCGTGCAGACCCTCAGACCAAAAGCTCGGAAGGCAGCCCAGCCCCAGCTCCCAGCTGCTGGCCAGGGCAGCAGCAGGGCAGGCCAAGAGGGCACAGGTCGCCGAGGTCACTGGCTGCTCCTCCTGCCCCACCTCCCGGCAAAGGCCTCACCTGCTGGTGTCAAACTAATCAGAAGGGCGTGTGGCGAGAGGGTGAGACCTCCCAGCCCAAGGCCATCCTCACACAGCCCCCGTCCTCGCCACAGCCTCGGCCCGGCCTCCCTGACCTCTGCTTCCTGTTCCCCACACCAGCCCACTCCTCCTCGTGTGACCTTGGCCTCCACGGCTAAATGAGGGCCAGCTGTGCTGGCCTCCACATCCCAGCTGTGTTCACGGCTTCCTTTTGCATGTGCGCCTTTGAATATGATGTATGTGCACACCTGTGTGTGCATGAGAGTGAACCTGTGTTTTAGACGTGTTACAGTTTGTGTGTGTCTGTGTGTATCCGTGAGGATGCCAACATACAAGTGTTAGTGCACACGTTCTTGTGCAAAGGTGTATGTGTGTATGTGAGTGTGAATGTGAGTGGCACATGCTGGGGTGTGTGCATGTGATTATTCACACACATGCGAGTTTAAATTAGCATACGGTGTATATATGGTATGCACGTGGCCTTTTATGTGACCATGCCTACACACATTTGGTCACATAAGCATGTGTGGCTATAACAACACGTGTTTGCATGTGCATTCAGGCATGTGCGTGTGGCTGTGCCTCTGTGTTTGCCATATGGTGTGTGTGTGTTACTGCGTAGACGTATATTAATAAAGACGTGTATGTGGATGTGAGTGTGCAAGTATGTGTGACTGTATACATGTGTGCACATGTGTCTGTATTAGGAGGGTGTGTGTGGACAGGTATACGGCGTGTGCCATGTGTAAATATGGGTGTGTGCACATGTGAGTGTCTGCATGGGCGTGGCTGCCTGCTCCTGTGTATAGCTGTGTGTCCAGGCTTGGACACGCGGTGTCATCTGTGTGTATAACTGTGTGTGAACGTGTGTGCATGGGGAGCAAGTGTGTGGAAGCACAATAAAGTGGGTGCACGCACGTTTGAGCGTAGGGTGTGTCCACGCGGATGATGTTTTCCAGAGGAGCCAAGGGAGACCACTGCCCCAGCCACACGCCGGGGCGCGGAGCGGCGAGACACATGTGCTCTTGATAAAGAGTTTAGAGCCCCGGCCTGGGGCAGGCGTTAGTCACACCCGGAGCCCTGTGCCCGACTCCAGGGGCGCCTGCCCAGCTCGGAAATAAAATTAACCCCGAGTCAGCACAGGGGTGGTGAGGGAGGGGGGATCAAAAAAGAAAGGGCCCAGGAGGCGAGAAAGGAGTGTTTGTTCCCATCTCCTCCCAGAAGCTGGCGACCATCCCTCCTCCCCCTCGGCCCCTCTCCCACTCCCCTGTAGCTCCACCCCTGCTCCTCTGGCTCTTCCTCCTGACTTAGAGCACATTCTTCAGCCCAGCCCAGCCCAGCCCAGAGGGAATGAACACAAGACCCCACCCCACAAAGGCTCCAGGGTTGGGCTAGGAGGGGCCTGAGGAAGTCTGCCCCACTCGTACCCTGAGAGTGGGCAAGGCACCCTGCTTCTCTGAGCCTCAGTTTTGCCATCTGTGAAATGGGGGCCTGGGGATTAGACTCAACCTTCTCAAAATTTTCCATTGTAGCATCTTCCTCGCCTTTGACATCCTGGGACCATGGAGGGGTGCACTGTGTTCCCATTGACCTCCCACCCCATGTTCATGGGCAACCAAACGCCCCTATGACCAGGCTCCCACAGCCCACAGGCAAAAGTCCTGAATTGCCTGTGCACGCCCAGTCCAGCCTGCCATCTGCTCACGTCTGTCCTGTGCGTGAGTTTTCACAAGCAGGCACTGAGTGAAACACATGTTCCTCATTTTCTGTAATTCCTGTGATTCTCGAAACCCCACCCAAGGCAGATGTTATTTGTCCTCAGGTTGCAGATGCACAAGCTAAGGCTCAGAGAGGCTAGAAACTTCCCCAAGGTCACACAGTAGGTGAATAGGGGGCCCGGGGCTCCTAACGTCAAACCCAGTTCTCTAGCCAAACCACAAACTCATGTAAGACACCTCGTAATGGTACATACCTAGACCCACTGTGTACAGGCTAACATTCACAGCTTCAACCCATCTATGCTGCGCAGAGGCGCACACACACAGAAATTAGCTTGTACGTGAGTGTTGGTGAATACGTGTGTATACATGGCTTTGGAGTGTAAAGATACAAAAGTGTGTGTATGTGAAGGAAGGAGAAATGGCTTTTTATTGAGCACCTATTGTGGGCCTGGAAGCCCATCCTCACGGCCATCCTGTATAGTTATTCCTGGTGGATGGATGAGGAAATGGGATACCGGGGAGGTTGTTCGCCCAAGGTCACACCAACGTGTGCATCCGTGTGTGCACACCCCCACCCACGTCCCTGCCCCAAAGGGCCTCGCCTTCAGGTGTGCACAGCCCGTGCACACGGGCCAGACCCTTAAAGGGCAGAGTGCATGTCCTCTCCCGGCATGGGGACACCGCCACACCCTCCTCACCTGCCCCCAGCCACTGTCCGTCCATCTGTCTTTCTCCCCTGTCCCCAGAGGGGGTCGGGGTAGGGGGACAGGGACAGGGCACACGGCAGATTAATATGGCCCTGGCGTTCCCAGAGGCCAGGGCCGCACTAATGACGGGGCTGATAGAACGCAGAAGTGTGAAGAGAATTTTAATAGATCTGACAACTCTAATAAGAACTGGTGTCTGGAAGGGTCCTCCTCTGGGGCCGCAGGCTGACAGGATGCTGACGGCTGAGATTTGTTTACCGGTTGGCATCACGGCCGCATCTCCTGCCAACTCCCGATTAATCTAATTTGAGACGTTTGGAGCCCGAGCGTGGGTGCGAGGCAGAGAAGGGGAGACACAGAGAGACAGAGGGACAGGGAGGGCCGCTGACAGAGGCCATAATGAGAAATGCCACAGCCCTGCCCTCGCCGACCCCTGCTGGGCCCCAGGGAGAGGCAGGCTCTGCGGTGTGATGGGTGTCCTTGGAATTGCCTGGGTCGTCAGTAGAGTTTGGCTTCTTGCTCACCTTGGCAGAGCCTGGGGAAGCTCCTACTGTGTGCTGGGCCATCGTTAGTAACTGGGAAAAGCTGAAGAGGAAGGGACAGAGTGATCAGAGGTGCAAACAGGACAAACTCAGGCTCTGCCACCTCACGTGTGGTGCGTGACTCTGGGCCAGCAAATCTTTCAGCGCCTCAGTGTCCACCTCTGTAAAATGGGAACAGCCGTACCTAAAGCCTGGGGCTGTTGAAAGAACTCAGTGAGATTATGTCTACCTGGCCCATAGTAAGGGCTCATACACAGGGGTCTCACTTTGTTGTTCTTGTCACTGCTATTCAAAGCCAGACCCTCCCACCCGTCTGCAGGAAGAGCTGGAGAGGGTGGCATGAGAGGGTGGCATGATGTGGAGGAAGGAGGGGTGGGCAGAGCCTTTGGGAATTCAGGCAGCATCACCACACTCGACCACGTGCCCTTGGAGAAGTCACTTACGCTTCCAGAGTGGAAAGTGAGGCCAGTGCAGGATCTGGGGGTGCCCCGTGCACTCCTAGTGCTGGGGTTATACTGTAGGCAGCTGCTGGGTGAAGTCGTGGGAGTGGTCAAGAGCGCATCTGACTGCTCCGTTTGAGTCCTGGCTCCACAGCTTAGGAGCCACGTGATCCTTCAAATTATGCCGTCTCTCAGGGAAGGGTCCCCGGTTCCTAAATCATTATCCCCAGCCTCAGAGAGCTGTTGGGAGATGACCATGGAAACTGCCTAGGACAGGAGCAAGCTCTCAGTAAACGTTAGCTCCTCCTCCTCCTGTTCCCACTGTGACTCTGAAAATTAGACTCCTCCCACTGGGCGGGCACTAGAGCCCAGATAAAGAGGCTTCAAGCTGCAGAGGTGGTGTGGCCAGAAGAGCAGGGTCCCCTGAGGCCAGAGATGGGGAATGCCCCCCCCCCCCCCACCAGTAACGGGCAGACCCAGGCAGAGCAGAGGTGGGACAGACCCAGGCAGGGCAGGGCTGGCCCCCACCACCTCCACCCGACCAGCGGGGCCTGTAAAGAAGGAGTGACTTCAGGCACAACCCAGTGGCTCAGCCCAGGATGTTTGCACGTTCTTTAGGAACCTAGGGGGCTGTGCCCTGAGCCAGCCCTCTGTGCTCAGCATCTTAAAGCACATTGTCTTACTTGATCCTCGTAACAGCCCTTGAGGAGGGTAGAACTTGCTCTTTCCATTTGATGGGCAAGGAAACGTGTTTGGAGTGGCAAGGACGTTCGCCCAATGCCAACGCACAGGAGGTGGTCGGGACTCCACGTTGCCCTCTTCACTTTTCTTCTTGCCCCATCGAAGGTCACGTCTGATTATTAAATTAGTGGCCAACGTCTGCTGAGCTCGCTGTGTGCCAGGCACAGTGCTAACCAGCCAATCAGCCACTTTACATGCATTTTCCCGTTTCATTCTCACCACAGCTCTTCAGCCCAGCTGCCATTATTATCCCCATTTCACAGACAAGGAAACTGAGGCTTGGGCAGGTGAAGTGGGATACTCGGAATTACACAAAGCTGGCAGGCACAGAGGATTTGAACCTAGGTCATTTGAACCACAAGGCAATATGGCCTCCTATAGCTCAGTTCTTGGGCCCGCCCTCTGGCCTCCCTGTCACCTCCTGGCTCCAACCACCTACCCTAGGCAGAAGCCCTCAGCTTCAGGGAGGCGTGGAGAGTGTCACGGGGTCCCTCAGTGGGCAGGTGACAAAGCGAGTGTTGGGCTCAGCCTCGTGATCCCTGGTGCAACACCCTGTCCATCCTCCTCTCCCCCCTGGGTTTGAGACATCCCAGGGGGGTGGAGTGGCGACAGCCACGACTCTGGCTTGGGAAGCAGCATCTGTGTGGCTCAGGAGTCCTTGGTCACACGCCAGTCTCATCACTTGGTCAGAGCTGATTTCTGCCGTAGCCTCAGGCAGGTGCAATTAACACAGCTCAGACAACACGTGCACACACAGTCGTACCTGTGCACACACGCTCTGACACATGTGCATGGCTTCGGTGGAACTCACCTGTACACGGTTACCTGTACATGCATAAGCATTCCCATAGTTCCGCTCACACGGGTACACACAACTCGCCCACATCCATGCACACGTACTTGTGCAAGTATTGCTCATGTGGGAACATTCATGTTCACGCCCATTGCCACCTCACCAAGGTTCTCATGTCCACTGTTCTCTCTCACACACACACGAGCACACACCTCCAACTCTCATCCCTTTTTCCTGGGTGACCACAATTGACAAGGCTAATGGTCTCGCCTTCCTGCAAATCAGGACCCTGGCTCCTCCCCCAAATGGACCCCTCAACTCAACTGCAAAAGCAGCTTTAAGTTTTGAGTAAGGGGTCTTGCTTTGCCTCATCTGTGAGCTGAGTTCGGGGTCCAGAGAAGGCAGAAGGACCTTGCCCTAGTTACTACCTGGGCCCCATGGCGTATGCACAGAGAGATGGGCCAGTTCTTCCCTCACCAATGTGGGTGTCCTCCAGACCTCCCTACAGAACTCATGAGAGAGCTGAGGTTCTATTATTATTATTATTATTATTATTATTATTAAGTGTTAAGTAAATATTTGCTGAATGATTGGAGAGAGGTGAGAAGAAAGACCTTCATGACAAAATGGATGGATGGGTGGAAGGATGGAAGGATGGATGGATGGATGGATGGATGGATGGATGGATGGATGGATGGACGGACAAACCAATGTATGGATAAATGAATGGATGAGAGACCCATGAATGAGACAGATAAAAGGATGGGTATGTATGTGGGTGGGTGGTTTGATGGCTAGATACAGGGCAGATAGAAGAATAAAAAAAAGAATTTTAATTTCTAGGAGTTTCCTTTTTTCTTCTTCCCAGCTGCTGTTGATTACCTGGCCAAAAACGTGAGCCTCTCCACACAGCGACGCATGAAGCTTGGGGAGCACTCCGCGGTGCTGGGACTCCTGCCGGTGGAAACTGGCCAGGCCTACTAGGGCCCCTGGGGCGACTTGCCCCAACCCCCGTCCCAGCTCAGCCCTCACCGATCCCTGAACCTCCCAGCCGCAGTTCCTCCTGGCCCTGGGGGTCCCAGGAAGCCAGGAAAGGAGCCCATTCCCTTCTCATAGCCAGCCCTCTGGACGCGTGCAGTCAGTCCATCACTCACCTGTGGCTGGAGACCTGGAGTGACCCCCCACCTTGGAGTCTGCCCCTGTACTTTCTCCCTAGGAGAGTTTCTGGGCAGCCCACAGTCCTTGCCCGGTCAAACGCTGTTGTGGCCTCTGTGCTGCCTGAGACACAGAGTTGGAAGCTCACCCCAAAAGAGCACCATGAGCACCCAAGGGAGGATGGTGTTTGGGATGAGGTCCTAGAGCCCTTGGACTCCAGTCGGGACCCTGGCCAGAGGTGGGGGAGGAGCTTGCAGGCCACTCCCAGCTGCAAGTGCTGGGAGCCAGTCCCTCCAGGTGAGTGTCTGGCCGAGGGCCAGAACCTTAGCCCACTCCTCCTCTGGACACCGGGACTCCAGCAGAGAGGGAACTGAGCCCTGGGCTGTCCCGGGGAAGTCACCCAGGAATTCTGAGGACTTCAGGACCCTCCCCACACACCTCTGTTGGGTCAACGGGGGAATCTAGTTGGGACAGGGGGAACTGAGAAAACCAGGAAGAGACTTAACCAGGGGGTGGGGCCGTGTGGGGATAGGGCTTGTCACCAGTAGAGTGGCCCAAGATACAAGGACCCAATGAAGCATCCAGAAGCAGCTGGCTTTCATAATGAAGCCCAAGTTTCAATTTTGCCCACCTAGTGAGGACGTGGGGAGCCCACAAAACCCTCAGTGTTCACGTCCACTGGATCAGATGGGGGGGAGGGATCAACTCCTGAGGACCCATGAATGAAGAGGCACAGGGCAGCTCAGAGGGGTGTTTGTAACTGGGGTCCCTCTGCTTATGGGCTGCAACCCTTTGTTGCCAGAGGCTTCAGCCCCGTGGAGCTTTGATTTCTCGCAAGGCCTCCACAGAGACCTGAGCCCACCGCTGCAGGCTCAGCCTTCTAGGAAGGGGCCTCCATCTGCCGGGGAGTCCCTTCAAGTTGCTGGGGGTGCAGAGAACTTCCCTTGGAGCTCAGAGCTCTGGAGAAGGTTCTTGGACCAGCAAGGACCACTTGCTCCACAGACAAGACCACTGATTCCCCTTGGCATTTGGGGAAAGGGGACATGTCCCTGTCCACCCAGAGTGGCATCTTTCAGTGTTGATTCACTCCTGACCAAGAGGCCTCCGTCTCCTGGTGCAGTGCTGCTGTGCAGGGACAGAGGTGGTTGGTCCTCAAACTGCCACCCCTGGGTGGAGGGGGATGCCCACAGTTCTGGAGAAGAGGGACATGCCCTTCTTGGCCACTCCAGTGGCCTCCTCCAGCTCCTTTTCTTTAGAGTCGCGGCCTCTGGGGAATGGTTCAAGCCCCTGACTACGCCTCCCTTGGAACTTTTTACCACCTTCCCGTTTAACAAACTAGATTCATCTTCGCCATCACCATCATTATAATCTACACTTGGATCACCTTTCTCAAGTGCTGCTGGGTAAAAGGCACTGTGACAGGAGACACGGCACGGAATCCACAAAGACTGGACCAAATTGCTTGTCCCCATATGGGCACACGAGGCCACCTCTCTGCTCCAGCCAGGCCCCTCGCCCTCAGCCAACGAGACACCCCCAGAGAGTGGGGCTGCAGTTTCGGGAGAGGAGCTGAGTCCCTCCCTCTGGGAGCCTGGACGCTTTCCTGCACGGACATCACTTCGGTGAATAATGCTCCCTTGTTTCTTGTCTTCAGACTCAGTGGTATCACGCCCGTCCTGGACCACGCCAGGGTGGCCCATATCTCTGGCTTAGAAGAACCTATTAATAGGTGGGGACAAACAGACTCTTGGGTAGCAATGGACACCCAAGATGTGTGTGGCCCATCAAGATCAGCCCAGGTTTCCACGGAACATCCATCTTAGGAGACTTTTGGCTCTTTAAGCTCTGGACAAAAAGGAAGACTGTGCAGCCCCTTGGAGGAGCGCCCACCCTTCCGTAGCTCTCACAGCCAGGAAACAGCTCTTCCTTAAGATCCGCCACAATCTTCATTCACATTCCTCGAATGGCCGACCTTCCTCCTGGAGGCCTGGCTCAGGAATCGCCTGAGTCTCTCTCTACCCTGTTACCCAGGCGAAGGGATGTCACGCAGGTGATGTCAGAACTGTGCGGTTCTACCCCCAGGAGGTGACATTCCAGTGCAGGGACCAAGCCAAATCTCTACCCTTATGATGAAATGGGAAGCAACCAAATGGTTTCTCATCACACCCAACTTCTCCGGAGTTCTCCCAAACCACCCTCTTGCTAAAACACAAGACTTATTCCCCCCCAGGGGCCCCCACTCCCCTCAGAAAGAGACCCTGACCCAGACAGGTTTTCTCCTAAATCCCCACACATTGCTTTGTTTAGCTGACTCAGCCTATAATACTCAGGCTTGCGTTGGCACCTCACAGCTCACCGGAGATGGTGTGGGATGAGAGGTCCGAGGCCCCAAACTCTTGGGGGTCGACCACAGCCTGAGAAAGGAGGCCTGATCCCCAGTGGCTGGTCCAGCCCAGGAACGACCCCCATCCACGCCTGTAAATAGAGTCTGTAGCAAGATAAGAGACATTCCCTCCAGCTGATCACAAATAGCTGTTGGTTCTCCCTACGGGCAGCCCCTCTTCTGAGCTCATTGTACATTAGTTGGAAACGTGGTGATGTGCTGTTCGTTTCTAGGAAGTTGACTTTTCTATATATAAATATATATACTAAACAAGGAAAGAAAGCCCCCCACAGTGCGTGTCGTGCTAGTGCCAGGGACCACCTGTAGGGATATATCTGCATATCGTGTGTTTCAAATTATACATTCCAGCTTCTGTTGGGTTCTTTCACTTGTATTCTTTTGTTTTTTATCACTTGGTATTTCTGTCTTGCTATGAAAAGAAAAAAGTGACGTGTAAGAACCGAGCTATGCTTTTATACTCTTTATTTTTTACTTGATTTGCCTTTGCCATTCTTTTGCCAGTGGAACATGAAGGAGAAGAGAGACTGGGGGATGAGAGAGAAGGGAAGAATGAAGGGAGGTTTGCCCAGAACAGAGATGGGGAGGCCAGACGGCCGGTCTGACGTGGCTTGAGAACAGGTCAGGTCCCAGGCCCAGACCACTCCACCAAAGTCCAGTGTTGTTGTCCACGGCGCTTTGGATTCCGGAACTTGCTGAAACTCCACAGTTGCCCCCAAAAGACACTCTCTGGGGCCTCTCTCAGACCGGTGTTCTCCTCAAGCTCCCAAATGTGCCCCTCCCTGCTGGACACTTTTTGAGGTCGACAGGTCTTCTCTCCTCCCCTCCTGTAGAGGCACCAAGCCGAGACCAAATGGGGGTCCTCCCGCTGCCATCTTGAAATGCTCAGAGACAGCACGCATTGAATGCTTGCTCCATCGCCTCGGCCGTGGCCGGTCCCCTGCCCGGGAAATTATCTACATAGCGCTCTAGATCATTCCTTCTTCCTAGTAACTGCAACTCAGTTGCTTCCGTGTGTGTGACTCAGCGGCTGTTTTCCTCCACGTGGAAGTGTACGTGTGCATGAGAGTGTGAGTGGGCTGTGCGCGTGGGCTCCAGGGTGTGTGTTTAAATATAATCGCGCCATAATTTATTCAGCTATATGGAGTAGTAGACTAGAAAGAGAAACTGGCATTTGCTTTAACTACCTGCTTGTAAGCGCTTCCTCTGTAACTCAGGCGTAACTGTTATACATTAAAAGAAATTAAAAGCATTTCCAAGGTTCTGTGTGCTCACTCCATCACCACCGTGTGGCCGCCCTAAAAGGGTCTGCGGGGGGGGGGGGAGTAATTGGACCTAATGCAGAGGGCCCGACTAGGCACTGCATTGCTCCCACGCCCCATGGGTCCCTCCGTGCCATGCACGGCTACATCTACTGTGGCTCCCTAATCAATACTTGATCAGTGGATGCAGCTGCTGAAGCATCTCCAGTAAAACCTCAGTTCTCCTCACCAGGATGAACTTTTCCTGCTGCTACGCTTCGTACTTTCTGTGGCCACCTCCTGGGACACGTGGGGGCGGGAGGGGGCCCAGCGGCAGGCATACTGCCTTAGAAGCGGAGCCTGCTGTGAGGGTCCTTGGGCGGGTGAACTCCTGGGGGAGAAGCCCTCAAAAGAAACCGGTAAGGGGATGAAGGAAGCAGGAGGAAGCAGGGGAAGGGGCTAGGCAGAGGGGGAGTTCTGACTGGGGCCTTGCTTCATTCTAACACTGCGGGGAGCTCCAGGCGGGAATTCAGCAGTCTCACCTCGAGACCAGGAACTGGCCTTCTGGCCCAGAGGAGTGGCTGTCCGCTGTCCCAGGGATGTGGGTGGGTGGGTGGGTAAAGGGCGTGTGTGCCTAAGCGTCTGTGGTTACAGTGGCTCCTATGGGCTGGGGCCCGTTCTCCAGAGAAAAGTGCTGCAATGGGCCCTTGGTGGCAGCATTCACATCGGTCAGAGGACAGGGGCGCTGGCCCAGTGAAGGGCACCTGGGCCAGGACCAGCAGTGTCTACTCCACCCGGGCTCCCCTGGCTCTAAACCAGGGTCCCCATGTCATTCCAGGGCACTGGTTCACCTGGATGATCTGCACAGGAAGGGGCTGTGATGGAGGAGTTGTGGGAGGAGCTGTGCATGATGGGTTGGTAAGGCGCTCCTACGGACCCCGTCCGCCCAACCCGGCCAAGTTCTCCAGGGCAGGGCCAAGGCAGGTTGAGTCTGAAGCCCGAGGTCTGAGACCGGTCGGCCGGCTGCCTCAGCACCCTCCTTCCGCCAGATGGTGTCCCTGCAGTAGGGTGAGCTCTGATCCAGCCCCGTGTGAAGTCCAGCCAGGTAACTCATTCCAGACCAGGGCTCCGGACCATGTCCCACCCTCCACCCCTCCCCCAGCACCCAACCAGGCAACGGTCAACCA